GATCAGTCTGTAAACAATATATGTGTGATCATTTTCTTTTCTATCCTATTTCTTTTCTATTTTATTCTCTTTGGTAAATTTCCACAATTGAGTAAAAGACCCCCAAATAGACACAAACTAAACATCCAAAAATGAAAAAGATCTATTTGAAATGAGTAATTAATTGGCTATAAAAAGAGCAGATCAGTCTGTAAACAATATATGTATGATCATTTTCTTTTCTTTTCTATTATATTTCTTTTCTATCTTATTCTCTCTGGTAAATTTCCACAATTGAGTATTTTAAAAGGTTATTTCCTCCTTAAAGGGCTAAGAGAAGTCCTCCTCATATTTAAACCTAATTCTTCAGGATTGTTTAATACTTTACGTCTCATTTTAGGATGGAGGACAGACTTTAGGTCTAATTTCAGACTCAGACTGGTATAAAATGCTCTATGATTTAGTTTTACTTTGGAGCAGCTTGATACGTTTCTCTCACTTCATGAAGCTTTCCCTTTAATAAATGTAATTTCTCTTATTCTCTTAAACGGACTCAGACTTTTGCTTCAGAATTTCCACAACATACTTAAATTCAGGATGTAATTCTTAGTTCTTGGGAGTTCATTAATGGGTACAAATGAACTGTACTTTGGTCATTATAATGATAATTTTCCCTTTTAAGAACCCCGGGACCAGGATTTAATCATTTTAGGTCCCATTTGTTGAGATGGTTGGAAACAGGTGAAAATAAACATGCTAAACAGACTTTATGATGTAAAAAAATATAAACTGAATAGCACACAACCAGAGAGGATGATGGGATGGGATCTGAACTGTGGTAAACAGAGTGTGTAACTCTGTAAATGACTCTGATTTGGATTTAAAACCACACAGACCTTTAGAGTTAGTTATTAGTAAGTTATTTTGTTTTCTGATTTGAATCTGGCTTTAAACTTCAATTTTCTGTGTGCTTTGACTGTGATATGGATCTTTTCTTTTAGACATTCTGGAAACCCGTGTTAGGAACTTAAAGCTGTTTTTACGTTTTTAAGGATATTTACAGTTTGTAGCCGGACACCTGAATGTTTACCTGATTTCTTTTTGTCTTTATCAGGGAAAAACAAGGATGGACCCACGGTGGAAATGCAGCCTCTCAACGAGGACGAGGAGAAAAAGAAAAAGAAACCTCCAAAGAAAGAGAAATCTGTTCTCCAGGGAAAGCTAACCAAGCTAGCCGTGCAGATCGGAAAAGCAGGTACGGAGGGAAAATCTGGGATGTTTATCTTAATAAGAATCAGAATCAGAATCAGAATAATCAGAATAATCAGAATAATCAGAATAATCAGAATAATCAGAATCAGAATAATCAGAATAATCAGAATAATCAGAATAATCAGAATAATCAGAATAA